AAAAAACGGTGCTACTGATGTATGGGTTGGAAGCATTGTTTTCTGAGAAAATTGTGTGTGTGTTTTCCCTGTTTGGAAACATTGCTGTCAAGTAAGACGTTTCTTAGAGCAACGGTGATGCTTTTTGTTTGGTACCAGTGCTTTATGTCTGTTTTCAGCACTAGTACCCATTATAGGAAGTAGTCCATGTCACCGCCACATCACGTCTTCATTGGCAGCAATGAGCTGCAATCTGAGAAAACGCCAAATTCGGTGTTGCTCCAAACCACACCTTCTTGATTTTCAAGGCGTGGCTTGGAATACCGTTATTTATGAAAAAATGGTTTCAAACAAACAAGCGTTTCCTAGAGCACAATTTTTTCGACATGATGCTGATATATCACCATTTTCTGGAGCAATGACATTGAAGCTAAACAAACACAAATATGTTGGCATTTCTGAAATCTTGGCTCCGTTTGGAAGGAATATAAATACAAATATGTACAATGCAAATACATATAAAATAATACAAAATATAAGTTTTGCACTCTACAAATATGTATTTGTACTCCTTACAAACTGAGCCCTCAAGATTAATGGGAGTTGGAAGCTCAAAAAATAGAAATACAAGTTGCACTTCAATATCCTAGACAATTAACGTCTCGGATTTAGCGGTCAAAATGCGGGACTGAATCATGATAGGTTGGCTTAGAGGTGAAGAAAGTAAATAGAATGTTATTAGATCCGAAGGCAAATTGCTTTATATAGATTTGAAGCTGTCCCTTGATCTCTTAGATTGAGTTTGGAAGCACTATAAATGCAAATATGTAGAATGCAAAACCTTACATTTTTGTATGTATTTATACTGTACATATTTGCATTTGTACTCTTTCCAAACTGAGCCTTAAGGGGGTGGATGCGTTCACCCATGCTGTAGAGGGGGTAACTGTTTCTGTTGGAGGCCAGCAACCTACGCTGTAGAGGGCGTTTTGGGGCTGGATGCGTTCACCCATTCATGCCTATATCTATCCTTTTGGTCAAAGGGAAATGAGAGGTAATTACTATTTTACCCTACTCTGGCATTCTCAAAAAGATTCTCAACAGCATAGGCTGTTGGCCCCAGCCCACCAAGGGGTAAGTGGACATTGTTGGAGGTAAAGTTATCCTTTGCATTATAATATTTTTCCTTGTGTTTGTTTTGGGCAAACTTATGGCAAATAGAAAACATATTGGAAAAGTAATTTCAAGAGACACTGAAATATGTTTTGGATACATGGATGTAATAAGAAAATGAGATACACTTGGATACATTAAGATAATTCATAAATCTTAAAAATACATCAATAGTATTAAATATATTGTTTAAATGAGATTTACCACCAAATACCATACATGTGTGTGGTAATTATATATCATGTATATATATATATATATATATATATATATATATATATATATATATATATATATATATATATATATATATATATGAATATATGATATAATATTATATCTAAATATATATATATATTATAAATGATATAAACTGTGTTTGATATTATTATTGGATTGATCAATATAAACTGACATACAATTGTTATGTGAGACTATTTATATTTAAATAGGCATATCTAAAAAATTGCATATGTGAGAGACTAAGCATAGAGTAGAGACATCAGATTTGGATCTACTTACTATGTTCATACATCGGATGGTGTGTTACTTTTTAATCGGATTGAAGTCGGAACCAAGACATGTCTTGGACGTCCGATCCGATTACAGGCCTATAGAGTAAGACAATAAGACATCCAATGGAGCGTTCTTCAATTCATCGCGGTAATACTAAATTACTAAGCCAAGAAGATTTGGTTTAGGCGGTGACGGTGAGCTACGTCCCTGCGTGCGACCGTAGGGAAGGGATAACACTAGCACGGTAGCACCTCGTCCGGTCCATGATAAAAATCCAAATCCTACATTTATTTGACTTTAGGCTCCGGTACAATGGGACATTTGTCCATTGATTTATCGCCACCTGGGCTGGTTGTTGCACCTTACATCATCCTCTCCACTCCAGTCTCCTCTCTCCTTTCTCCACAGCAGGTCCTTCGATTCCTTTTTTCTTCTCGGTCGTAAAAAAAAGGGAAGGGGCGAAGGGCATCATACATCTCAACAACACCGCCTTTTCTTAATTTCTTCTCTAAAGTTATCTTAGCTGCTGCTACTGCTACTGCTGCTTCCAGAGAACTAGAGAATAAACAAAATACAGATTTTAATTTGGGTGGATAATAAAATGCTGAGGCTTGGTTGTAAGAGATTTCTAGGGTTTTCGAACCAGAGGAACCAGACGCTGCCACAAACTCTGCTGCGTCTCTACCATGAGAGGGTCGTCGATCACTACAATAATCCCCGCAACGTCGGATCCTTCGACAAGAACGACCCTACGGTCGGGACAGGCCTTGTCGGTGCTCCTGCTTGCGGTGATGTTATGAAGCTTCAAATAAAGGTCGATGAAGAAACTGGGAAGATTGTCGATGCCTGCTTCAAGACCTTCGGATGCGGTTCCGCCATCGCTTCTTCTTCTGTAGGTTGGTATTACTTTTTGGGTTTAGTTAGGTTTTCTTATGCACGATTTAACTCTACAGTGTTTTTTTTTTCTTTTTCCATTTTTGTACTTTAGGAATTGCCTAGGATTTTTGTTTTATATTTATTCGCCTGATCTTTTCAGATGACTGTTTGTTTTGGTTTTCCTAATTAGGTTCCCTGCTTTTCTAGGGTTTCTATTTCGCATTATACTTGAATTGGCTATTAAATTTGGTTGAGAATAAACAAAATTCAATTGAAATGTGTAATGACATCATCGCCTTGATTACAATAGCATCTTTATTTAAAATTTCAGATCTTTGTGTGTCTATGGTTAAGGATTGATATTATCCGATAAGATTGTATCAGGACTCACAAGGAGCAGTAGTTTGACACTAGCGATATTATTCGATAAATTGCAATTTTTGCATAGACATTTTACTTCCGTTCTCTAGTAAAGTTATGGTGCAAACCTTATGGTTCTTGCAATGACATCTGCTGTTGAATTCTCATTTTCAGCTACTGAATGGGTAAAGGGGAAACAAATGGAGGAAGTCTTAACCATAAAAAACACGTAAGCTCTTCTTCTGGCATCTCCTTTCGTTTTCCCTCTTTTAGTTCTTTTTCCCCCCTATTTTTATGCTATGAACTCTAATTATTTAATCGCTTCACTTGATGGATTCTTATCCTGAAAATGTGATGAGTCAATATTTATGATTTGGTTTTAGCATGTATTATGTACCATTGGAAGTTTCAAATTTAATTTGACATTTATGTTTGTTGGTTGTTCTGTCTGATGGTACTGTGTTTGGTCATTGGTGGTAGAAGTTCCTGACCTTGAGTTGCGTTTGATATCTGCTTAATATTCATATGTCTAGCTGTGATACTTTTATGTATGTTTTGGTAGTCACTTAGTTCCCCTCATTATGTTCTAATTGTGCGCTCTTACTTCCTTAAGGATGGAATAAAATTCCATAACCAATGACCTGAGCCCTGTTGGATAAACGTTTGCTTTTAAACTTTTGGTTGTGGAAAACAAATTTGAGCCAAAAAAGTTTGTAAGCGTTTGCTAAGAATTACTTTTGATAACACTATGGTCTGAAGCCAAAATAATTTTAAGCCCCAAAACACAAAGCCCAAAATTGGGGCTTTGTGCTTTTGAGCTTTAAAAGCACAAAATCCTAGTCAAAAGTTGATTCCATCAATTTCACCATTTCTAGATTAGAGTGCAACCCATGATTTTACTTTGCTTGCATCAGTCTTCTCTGAGGGACTGTTCTGGCATTTCATGTCTGCAAATAGGAAAATTGTTTCTACATGTTTCAGCTTATAGGGAGGAAGTGTGTGACTTCTAACCAAACAAGAAAGTAAAGAGCAGAAGTTACTTCTATCTTCAACATTCTAGGCCCACTTTTCCAATAAATCCTCATTACATTTAATAAACAAATGAAAGACGGTGATTATGTCCCATTGAAATCTAGTGAAGAATCATTATTAAATATTTTTGCTTAGTACCTGCAAGGTCCAATTGCAAATTGTATTTTATTACCAATGACATGAAAGACCAATATCCTAGACTAAGGCTTAAAACCCAATTCTAATAAGAGAATTGTTACTTTTAGGCATTTGTAAGTGAATAAAGAGTTCAATTCTTAGGCTAAGCTATATAACAGGTGTATGATAGAGTTAATATAGGGAGAGCTTTCTTTTATACATACATATATGTATTAAGTTCAATGTTGAACCATGCATTTTGACTTGTGGCTTGGTTAATTTAATGTTAACAATCTGACAAGCAGTTTATGAGTGTTTTAGGAGGTTTAGAACCTGGATGTTAAAAAAGAATTAGTGTTGTTTGAGTTTTAAGTGAGAACTGGGGTTTAAAATTGATTTCTTGGTTTTCTTTAAAACCTTGAGAAGTCCAATGTGTATCATTTCTTGTTCTTCTCAATCTGATACATATTATAACCCTTTGAGAAAATAAGGGTTTCACAATGGAACCATGAGAATGTATTTATGTATATGGTGGTGCATTTGTTTGTTTTTTGTTCTTTGCTTGATGTGATGATTTATCAGTTATAAAAGAGTTTCAGCACCAGAGTTCTGCTTTGTTGCTGAACTCCAAGAATCTTTGGGATTTGTGTTTTGCTGTTTCCCTTGGAGTGGAGGGTACTATAGAGGTGTTGGCCTTTTCACCCAAAGGCCTTGTAGTACTATGTTAGTGTGAGTTTCTTTAATAAAATTTTACATGACCTTCCTCTCAAGAAAAAAAGACTGCAGAATACTAATTAAATTGGAGACAGTCTTGTTGAAGATACGAGGAAAACCATTGTTTCTACTCAACTCTTGTCTTGTGGTGGGTTTTCTCTCATTGATTACCATAATTCAATAATTCTTTTGCTACTTTCTGAGGGTCATCTAGGAGTTGGTTGCTTTTGTTAGATTTCATTGAATTTTCTGAAGGGAAGATCATAAAAAAAAAATGCCAGGATTTTATGTCCATTTGATTTCATATAGCCTGGCATTGGATAACGATCTATTCCACCACTAACTGAGCATGACCTGGTTTCTGTAATTCATATGCTTCTTATTCCCTAGACAATCCTTATATTGAGGCAAAAATTTCCATTTTCAGTAGTATATAGGGAATAATTGGGGTCTAAGCTATGATTGGCTGGAAATGCTATCAAAATTAGTCTCTTTGTGATGTTGTGAATGCCAAGACCCCCTAGTTTCCTTGAGGCAGGGACAGGTCTTTTCTTGGGTTCTCTTAGAGTGATGACCTCTATTGGTTTATTAGGCATTGCCTAGTCTTGTCTAAGGTTGTTATTGGCTTCTCTCAGACTGATGACATGAATTGGCTTTTTTCATGTAGAGTGATTTACCGGTTATTGTTGGGTAGATTTGTGGATGAGAGAAGTTGGTGAGGAGACATTGCCACTTTGATCTATATCTGGCATCTAGAGTGAAGATATTGTTTAGATGGATTATGAGATTAGTTTCCTGCAGACATTGTAACCACTGCTTTGTATTTTTTGGGTGCTGCGGTTCCATCTTTACTTAGTCTTGTCTTTCATCATTTTTTTTTCCGGGTTTACTTGTTAATTTTATTTCTGCATCTTTTCTATTGATAAATCTTCTTGTTTCTTTCATAAAACAGGTCTAGTCTTGCATTGTTACTATTAAGGTCCTCATATAGTTGCACTGTTAAGAATCGGTAGATAAATATGGGCATTGTCTTCTGTTATGCACTTAAAAATAGAGTTCTAAAACATCAATATATACACAGACACACACAAAACATGGATTCGTGGCAGCCTGGGCGTTCAATAAATGGCATCCCCACGAGTGACCATAAAGTGTGTGTGCAAGGTCATTCATTGTTTACACACGTGATATTCTGTTCCAACGTGCGACTCTCCTACCCTCTTCTCTCAGTTTGTCTTTCCTGTTCTACCACTCCCCTCCCCTGTCTCTCTTCCTGCCCTACTTCTCCCCAGTTCTCTCTCTTTCTCATTGGAACTGTAGACTCCCAACAACGGCTCCTAGGTCATTGTAGAAGAGAGCCAATGTACATCGGGGGTGTTCCACACGATGGTGACAGTACAGGAAAGTGCACTCTTGCCAGTGACAATCTCCAATCGGTAAAGGTACTGAAATTGGCATGCGTGTATGGCTGGATGGAGTCCAAAAGATTGGAGGCGTCAGCGCCCAACAAGTTGGATTTTGAAGCATCGGGGACGGTACTGCCAAGCGGATTAGTGCTAACGAAGTTCGAATTAGTGAGGATGGAAGCGAAAGCCTGTGTGGGCTAAAGTGGTCCCAAATGATGGGGACGAAGTAGGAATTTAAGAAGCAAGTTTGGGTAGAGAGAGTTGGAGATGTTGGAAATGAGGTTGGCAGGAAAGTTATTGTTGGGAGTGTTTAAAATGTTGATAAAATCGGAATGCAGGGCGGGACAACGGAGTCGGGGCTGGAGAGGATAAAATCATAAAAATGGTACACCAGCGAGGGCCGACCGAGTCCAAATCAAGAAGCCTGGTAAAAAAAATAGAGGACTTGGAAATGGGGTGGACGAAATTGGCATCAAACCCGATAGTGCTGCTGGAGTTAGAAATGGCAAGGATGAAATCGACAAGTGAGAGTGGGTGAAGGAGTTTGGATAAATTTCAGTGTACATCTCTCGAAGGAGTGGAAAAGTTTTGGATTTCTGGATTGAGTATTTTTACTTGGAGTCTTGCTATTAGATAAATTCAAGTGGTGCTTCACTACTCATTTCTTAATTTATCGGTGCCAGAGGTATCAACTTTAAGCTCTCTTTCCTTCTTATTGATTATATTTTTTAAATGTATAATTAATTTTGGTTGTTGTCATTCAAATATGACTGTCAATGGGTCAGCCCAAGGTTCAAATTATCGGAAATGCAAGGTGTATCGGAAAGACAATTTTAAGAGACGTATTGGGATACATATAGATACGGACGAAAGATTAAGATAGGTATAAATATGTTAGGAAATTCAAATATATCCTAAAAATATATTACTAACAATAATTATAAGTTTTAAATGATTGTTAATAAGTTATTTAAATGTAAAAATCCATATTTACAATCATTTAATTGTAAATAATTACAATTAATAACTGTTGAAAATGTTGGAATAAATAAAATGTGAGAAAACAAAAAGAAAACTAAAATATGAATGTATACATCAATTTTCAAATAACCAATATAAATGTTATCTGTGTACATCAATTTATATTAATATTTGTTAGTATATAAATTTTACTAATTAATTCCAGCATTTATTAATAATAAATATCCATTAATAAAAGAGAAAATTTACTCAAAAAAAATAATGCATATGACCATAACAAACAAATGGGTGTGGCCTAGTGGTGACTTATGGTTGTTAAAACCTAGTGACTATGGTTTGAATCTTGCCATTATTTAATGTTTGTAGTTTATATACTAACAAAATGAAATTAATGAGATAGGATCATTAATCAGCGGAATTAATGAGAGAGTATCATTATTTAGTGGGATTAATAAGAGAATTTGAGTTAGGCGCTAAGATTCAAATTTAAATTTAAAGGAGTAATTGACTAATTAATGAAAGAAAAGTTAGAATTAAATATAGAAGTAATTAAAGAGATTAATAAATGAAGGGCACCCAAAAAAATCAAGTGTATTGGGCTGTATCAGACTCGGTCCCGTATCGGCTGATACAGAGCTGAAACAGCCCGTATGGGCCTGTATCGGTGTGGTACATGCAAAAAGAAAGGGAACGGATGATTTTTACACGCTTCGCATGTCAGTCTCTTGTCGGAACGATACGTATCGGCCGATACGGCCCGATACATTGCGAAATTTTGTACCTTGGTCAGGCCTACTCGACAGACCCGAAACATCTGAACTGTATAAAACAGTTCTGGTTCTATGATTAATATCGGTTTGGGATTAGTTTTGGCTGTCCTGAATCGATTATATATACTATATGTTTTACAGTTTTATATACAAGTACTTGTCTAAAGTCATAATTTTGCTTTAAAACCTAAAACCCTCAAATCCTTTACCCTCTGGCCTTTTTACTCGTCAGTTGTCACTTTCTCTTTCTTTCTCTTAGAAAGTTTCTCAAGAATCACCGACTCTCAGACCTCACTTCTCAGTTCCTCTGTTTGGACTTTTTTGCCACTTTGGGCCGGCATGGCAATACTTGAAATTACTAAATCTATTAGTTTAATATTTTGTTGAAATTAAGATATTTTTAATATAATAATTTAATAATTTACTATGTTACTACAAAAATAGTGATAAAAACTAAGGTATTTTTATCATTTTAATATTTTATTGAAATTATTAAAATTTTCCCTCACCTTTTTTCAAGCAAATAGTTTTAATTTACATTCGACTTCCACAATTCCACTAGCCCCTGCAATGCAGGGGCCCCTCCGCTAGTAAGAATTCTAAATTTGTCAGATTGAAATGGGAAAAACAGTGGCTAATGTTGATTTTGTATGGATCTCAGTGAAATATTGGAGTTGTTTTTTCTCAGTTCTGGTTGCTAGCATTGGTTGTCTGGAATAATTCTTTGAGATTATTGAGATGCCATCCTTTTGAGGGAGGGGGTATTTTCCTTGCATGGACCTATCTTAGTGGACTTAAAGATTGTTGACTGATTTAATGTTCTTAAAAGCGTTGGAGAGATCTCTCCATGCAAGTCTTTGAGGCATAGAAAAAAGGTGCTCGCATACTTGAGTTGAGGCATATGCCTCCTGTATGTAGGTATAGAAGACATACGTTTGTATGATACATATGCTTCTATTTCATTTTATACAGGAGATATGTAATTGATATAGATTCCACTTACAGCCTTTTATTATACATTACATAAAATGTAATAACAAAACAATTAAACATAGTCTGATTGCAGAGGGCATCACTGCTTCTTGATTTTGGGGTCAAGAACTCAACTGTAGACAAGTTGATATTTTAAGCTTTACGGATGTTATATGCCTAATAATCAATTTTATATTTGAATGTGATTTGTTTTATTATAAGAAACTGCAAATGCAATTATAATTTTTTTTTCTAATTTCCCGATTTTTCTGTTTTTGGCAAATGTTCTATGCCTCGTGTTCTATTTTATGCTTCACAGTTTAGGATAGTGGAATGCCTAGTGTCATGCCTCCATGTTTAACATTGGAACGAATTATTGTTTCCTTTATAGAAATGTGTAGCACTTTACTCCAAGGCAAACATCTTCACCGTTATTCCCTTCTTCTCTGTGTTCTATTGACATCACATTTCTACCCGGGGTCACATGATTATGGACTTTAACATTAGCTATCTGACTCTTATATTCTGGTATCTGTTGTGAAAACCCTAGCTGACATTTGTTATTGCCTTATTGGATTTTAGAAAGTTTATCAGGTTCTTTCCAAATCTTATTATAAAAGCCGAAGCAGAGAAACTATTACTTGTCAATCCAACATTGTTGGATTTGTTGGGCTAGAGTCATGTCAACATGCCGATGCTAGCTAGCCCCAACCCACGAATACCATCTGAGCTTGTTGAAATATGGGTCTCATCACTAATGGCAGCTGGTCTTGTCCAGGATTATAACATTTGTTCTGATGTGTCAGTCTTCCACATGAAGTTACGGGTCTTATTCCCATCCACTGGATTGCTTTGAAACAATCGTTGTTTATCTTCATTTCAGTTCTATACTGCCATCACCCAAAAAGTAACTGCGTGCAATGGGTCCAACATCCTCGGCTAACTGGGCTAACTATCCAAGCTGTGTCTTTATTCTTTTTTTTTTTTGTTTTTGTTTTTGTTCTTGGTCGTTTAATTATTTTCTGTTCACAGTATGGGTGGGTGCTTATTATTCCAGTTCCTTTTTTACCTTTATGGTGTTTCTTGTGTCATGATGCTTGTACTTTCAATGATATTGCAGGGAGATTGCAAAACATCTTTCGCTTCCCCCAGTGAAACTACATTGCAGCATGCTTGCGGAGGATGCAATCAAGGCGGCTGTGAAAGATTATGAAGCTAAGCGAGCTAAGTTGGGGGCAAATGGTGAGGCTGCACCAGTTGAGAAGGTAGCTGATGCTTGATTAACGAGTATGCGTATAATTGACATGTCTAAAAATGGGATATGATATGCATGTTAATAATTAGCTTGTTATGATATGAATTACTTGGAACTTCTGCTTACGCATGGTCCATTTTCCATGGATTCTTTACCAATGACTTTTTCTTTTAAATTTCTTTGAAATTGGTATGAGGTCCGATGGGTCTTAGCAATAATAAAAAATTAAAAAACAAGAGCGCACATGGACATAATTTGATCGTTAGACTTCTTCCCCAGACTGTTTCTTCTTGTTACTTGTGGTGGTTGAAACAAATCTTAATTGATTAAGCTGTTGTGGTAAGAGCATAGAACCGCCTAAAATGACTGGGCAGAAGTGCAAGGGTGTTTTTTCTTGCTCTTCTGCGACAGGAATGTTTGGCGGAAAGAAAGATTATCTGGATCTGGGCATATAATGTTCGTCAAAGGTTTGAAACTGTAATACGTGGACCAAATTTTCCTGTGTCAATACTGAATAGTGAATACAGACTCCGTTACCAAAAAAAAAAAAAAAGAATACACAGACTCACATTATTAATTGTAAGTGGTAACCATCAGATCACTGTAATGGTTGACAGACGATGACATGCATCGTGTTTAGGGGTTTCCATCCAATCGGAACAGAGGTTTCTTCTAGACCAGCAATTAAGATGATCCAGAATTGGCTTCGAAAAAGGGGAAAAAAATCCAGGACAGTGAAAAAATTGGTTTGGTTGCCCACTAAACATGAACCATTAGGAGATTCTTATCTTTTAGAGTGAAGATCCAGTTTGAAGATTAGAATTGGAATTAATTATAACTAAATTATCCCCGACTCCTGAGCTTCAAATATGGTCGTCTGGTCCTATGATCCAATCTTCGAAGTATTAAGGCTTTTGTTGATTAGCATACGATTTTGTTTTCTATTTTTATGAATTATAGATAAAAAATAGGGTAAAAAGGCATAAACATATCCTAAGTTTTCATCAATTGACTTAAATATTAACCCCGCTAGATTAGTGGAACTTTAAATGTGAATTTATATTTTGCTCTTTTAACATATGAGCGTAATGAAAAGAATTTATATTTTGCCCTTTTAACATATGAGAGTAATGAAACCTTATTGTTTGTTCATATGTTTGTTACCTACCCTATGTCAGGGAAAAGTGAAAAACCTACCTTTCTTTTTATTAGATAAATTAAAATTAACTTAAATCTCAGTCCCTAGCTAAAAGTTTCTCCTCCCCATTAATATACACAACCATATCCTATAATGCCAAAATTGTATTTATTTTTAACTACTATAATCCTGGAATCAGAGGATGTTGTTGCAGCCTCCATTTTTCCCAGAAAAATTGAACAGATGCATTATCTTTTTGGTGGCCTGGTGGATTGATGGGGATTAACATGGGAGTGGGTAGCAGGAGGATGGGGAGAGCATATCACTGCAATCGACCTCTACTGTTGAATCAGAATTTAAATGGTTGGGTCTCATTGATCAATCTCAAAATCCATGTTAAAACTTATCTTACCATCTCTTGTCAAAGGTTGGAGGGGGAGAAGTGATGATCTGTGATACCTCAAACCTTATTAGGATTTATCATATTTTTGGTTCTTTTTCAAAAATTTAAAAGAAAATAAAAGGTAAAAGAGTTACAAGGTATCTTTAAGTCTTTTATCCATAAAAATATTTAAATACCTAGGCTTTACATTTTTGGTAAAAGATGAAGGAGAATTAAAAATAATGTCAAGAGTACAAATTTCTTTTCTTTGGCCATTCATGTTTCTTATTTCCTTTTTATTTGCACACTAGAGAATGACCCCGTACTAAGTACAGGGTAACTAAATGTGTATAATTTAGTTTGAAGTTTACTATTTAATTTTCAAAAATTAAATTAAAAAAATTAATATGGGTCTTGCATCTTTTAATTTGATTTAAGATATTAAATGAGAACTTATTAGTAAACAATAACATATTTTATTTGGCATTTATTATTTATCTAATAAATCTATTTTGAGTTATTTATTTTTAATAATTAAATTAGGTTGCTTCCTAAAAGTTAAATCAAGTTTGTAATTAATAAATTATTTTCTTTTTGAAAAAAATCATTTAAAAACAAACGTGGGTTTGTGATAATCTTTTAATGGGTCCCACCATTTATATTTAATAGGCTATGGATAAACATGTGTTAAGCTAATAAATAACTGTCTATTGAGAATGTTTAAGAGTGAAACTACCCATTTTTTGAATCCTATTTCTTGAATTAATAGGATGCCACATGTCTGAATGGTGGTAGTGGGCTGTGTGGGCTTTAGCAGCAACTTTTTAAAAAATGCCACATGTCTATCTTTCCAGAAAAATGAAAATGCCACATGTTTAAATTGTGGGGGGCTATAGTCTGGTAGTGCGCTATGAACTGTAGCAGGAATTTCTCAGAAATTGCCCCGTGTCTAATTTCAAAAAAATGAGAAAACCACTTGTTTGAATGGTGGTAAATGGATTGTAAGCTTCAACAATAACTTCTCAAAAAATGCCACTTGTTTGAATGGTGGAACATTGTAGCCTGAAGACCTTCTTTTTAATATATATATAATAGATTCGTTTGTTTTTTTTTAACTAATAAAAAAGAAAGTAGAAACTGTATTTTTACGGTCGCAAGCAAAAAGAAGAAAGAAAAGGGAGATGACACCATTGGCATATTGAATATAAATATTGATGAAGAGAAGCGTGTATGCTACCCCTTTGCTACAAAATAATGCACATGGCGAGCTAAGGATAATCTCCATAAGAAAGAAGGATCGAAACTACCGAGGGGGTCAAGAAAGAGAGGATGTCAAATATCTTTCTTGTTCTTTCTTTATTCTTTGTTCCCATCGCCTCCAATCTCTTCCTACTTTGGGGCTCTTCGTGACTTTAAAAGAGGGAAGCCCCGGGTGGGTATAATTCCAGCCATGTCGTTAGTAATGGCAATAGGGTAGGTTGGGTTGGATTTGATTTGGGTTGACCTTCAATCCAATCCATCTAATCCGCCAATCCATTAATGACTTGTAATATAAAATTAAATGGGTGGGTTTAACCCAAATCCGCCTTGATCCTATCCAACCCACCCAAACTCATTAATCTCATATTTATGTATTTAAAATAAAAAATTAACTCCCACTTGAAAAATTCATTAATCTCATTAATCTCATATTCGTTATATTCAAGATTTTTAAAACCAAGTTAAAAACTAAATCCATCAAGGGTCCGTTCCCGAATCGAATAATCGGCCCGTTCTGACAAAAAAATAAAAAATAAAAAACCTTACCCATTCCAATCATCCAAGGCACCACCGGCAACTACTATCACCGCCGTCTCCGCCACTGCCATCAGCAGCAGCTAGCAATGAGAATTGTGATTTGTGAAGTCTCTGCAACACCACACCTCTAAAGATCACACGCGGCCGTGCATGGAGAGAAATCAACTGGAAAATGATACAAATATTGTATGTGTGGCAGTAACRTTCATTCCTGTCGATAGTCCCATGATCTCTCAAACTGGTGGTGGTGCTGACTGCTGTACATGTAGGTATTTTCTGGGAAGGGACTAACTAGGGATTTAATGAATAATATTTTGGTATATATATAGCACCGTTAAATTTTTCTGCCTCTCATGTATACATGTGGATGTTACTGAGCCCGTAGTGCATGCATGGTGGTCACCTGGTTCCTTGATTTCTAACCTCGAACCCCTGAAATTTGTTTTGAAGGTCATATTGAGAGACGCGACAGCTCCCAGAATTCCTTTTCTCTATAACCCCATTTTCCTTTTGGTAAAATAATGAAAATGAAACTTAAACGTGACGACCTCTAATTGGCACTGAAATGCTCACCGTTAATACTGAGTGGTTCACTGTGATCTCAACTCTGGAATACGCGGTTCATGATGAAATCGAAAAGAACGAATGATTGGCGACATCTACGATTAATTACAACTATGAAGATGTACGTACTCAGAAATAAGCTAATTAAG